AGAGTAAAGTGAAATGAAAAAAGAGAAAAAAGAAAAAAGTGCAATGAAGCAATAGGTCAGATTTGCAACTAAAGAGTGGTCACAGCCCTATAAAGTAAAAGGCTGTAGGCTTTTTTTTCTGTGGGTGAGGGTCTAATCTGGGTTTCCTCATCTCTGATGTTAAATGTCTATGGTGTGGGTTCATCTCAGCCAGTCCTCTACACTGCTTTTGCAATTAATGGAAAGAAATGGAGATTTCCAGTGTGTGATTCATCTTTCTTATTTTAGACATCTACTCTATAGTGAGATGAATCACACCCCTAAAGAGCCTGTCTGCCTCATCTGTCCTGTCAAATAACAGCTTTCCAGCTGACCGTGGGAGTGTGGTCCCAGGTTGTCCTTGCAATGTGTGTTCTTTCGCTCCTGGCTCTCCCCTGTAGTCAAGCAGCTAATTGCCTCCAAGAATGTGGGAGTTCTTTGGGGATCATTCGCTGCTGCAAGAGCTACACTGCTGTTAGAATGAGGAGCAGTGTACCACGTTTGGCTGCCCTCACCTTCAGTTGCCCTCCCACATCTCAGCAGGCTTTGCTTTGCTGGATACGTATCTCCTGCAAATGCTGACACGTGCCATACAGCCAGCATGCACTGCTGGGTTGCCACACAGAGCTTTCACTGCGCCAGGAACACTTGTATTGAAAACACCAAAACCCTTAGAATTGTATGCTCAGGCATACATACCTGCAGAAGATGCCTCAACCCAGTCAGTCATGTATAGAGGCAGTCTTCTGTAGCTTTCAGGAATGTGATCCACTAAATATGTGTTTACTTTGTAATTACCTGACACTTTGCAATTTGAATCCTTGCTTCTTAAGAGAATTAAAAACAAAAACCTGCAAAATTTCACCCGGGAGCAAAAATTGTTCAGCTGTATCCTTCCAAAAGGGGCAAGCATAGTGACTTGCAAGGTAAAGCCAGAACAGCTAGAGATGTATGGAAATGTATGTCATTTGTTTCTATGGCTAGCAAAATATTTATGATTATTGAGAGATTTTATTGCCGCGAGTGCTTTTCATTCATATTTGGTTCTGCCTCAGATTTAAAAAAAAATGTCATTGCTGTCTAGTCAGGGGGTTTTGTATTTTTCCCTCATTTAAGACAGCAGCGTATGTATTGACAAGTCTTTTCTTTTGTCATGGAAAGCACCAAACTTGTTGGCAGAGCACTGGGATTCCAAACTTTTTGTTTATAAACATGGCTGGTATTTTAACGGACTGCTAAACAGGAAGGAATCTTAAACAAGGGAAAAATGAGTTACTGCCCTTAAAATAACAATAATAAAAGCAAGATAAATTCCTGACTAATTCCCTTTCAAATTCAAGCAGAAGGGAAGGAAAAGAGTGGATTGTTTGAATTTCTGGACTGAAACTGTACAACTGATCTGGGAAAAAATTCATTATTTACATTGCTCTGTTCAAGTTAATGCTAGAAAAGGAAGAAATTTTGTCAGCCTACAGTTCTACACATGGAAGTTAGTGGTCCCTTTGCACATGCTGATTTAAACTTTCCATCATAATTTGAAATTGGTTTAGGACAAGTGATACTGTTACATATGGTACAGGTCATTGGGGGATTATCAGATGAATGCTGCAATGCCTGGTAAGGGAGAAAAGTACGGAAATAAATGGTCTGCAGGGAAAAGTCACCACTGATTTTGGCCGGGTTGGTCAAAAGGAAATATCAGTCCATATGTGTGAAATAAGTGGAAAAAGAAATCAGACCTTCAAATGGATCTTTAGCTTTCTTAAGAAAACAGTGGCATTGACTTAATGTTATTATCTCTTCTCATGAAAATGTAAGCATCAATCTGGGTAAAATCTTTTAGATACCCATTATACATAAGAGAATGAGAAGGTTGCTGTCCCATATTGCTTGTGGTAAAGTCTGAAGACTGATTTTTTTTATTACAGTGTTAACTTCAGGTAACGTGCTTATAAGTGAAACAACGTATGTATAGAGAAGCTTCAGGATATTTAGGAGGATATTTTTAAGTGGTATTGTAACCTTTCAGGAATAAACCTGTTCTTCCCAAAGCAGCTGGTTCAGAGGGGTGGAGTACCTTTTGTTTGTGGAGTTCAAGGGAGCAAATGCTGTGGAAGAGGCTGAAAATCAGCTGAAAATTCCACAAGGGTTACAGATGAAACAGGGCACAGCAGCTTCAGGAGGGCATTTGGTCAGCCCTGGGCATGGCCGTACTGCGTTGTCAGTGTCAGCAGGTTACCCCCTGCAGGAGACCAGTTTCAAGAAGTGTGCTCTGTTTTCATTCCCGTCCACCTTCCAGATCTTATTGTAATGTAATGAATGAACTGCTTGGTGTGGGTGTTCAGCAGGTGTCAGAGCAGATCTCTCAGATGTATTCATTAACAAATGGAAATGGGCTTCTTCATTGCAAGAAGCCAGGGACCAAGGGGGGCATTTCAAAACTATTCCAAATCATTGCCATGAATTGGGAACTCTGTTTTAATAAGTCACAGAAGTAGCATTTGTATGATGTTCCTAACTGTAAAGAGGTTGATTTTTTTAATTTTGTGTGTGTGTGTGTGTAACTGACTTAGTAAGCCACTGGGCTTTTTATCTCCCTTTTTGTGCGTTTGTTGATAAGTTTTGGAGATCTACCATTGGGAAGGCAGTTTGTCATCTTTAAAATTTTAGCAGCTGAGAGTAAGCCATGGTGCTTCTCTGATACTGCACTCATTGGAAAAAGAACCTCACTCATGTGATTAATTAAAAGGCTTTTTTTTTTTTTTTCCTTCTCACACTGGCTGCCCTGTATTTCTGCTACCTAATGAGGTACTCCTCATACAAACAGATTGTGGAACAACTGGGCTCAGATGTTTAGGTGTCTGGGGTTTCTTCTGCTTGAAAATGATTGTCAGCCTTCATTTTCTTTTCAGCTTTCGAGCCTGTTGAAACAGCAGCATTTCTGTCATTCAAACGTTATTCAGCCGTGTGCGCTGTGACTCATTCTGAAAGATTACACACTTCTGCTTCCCAAGTGTGCACCTATCCTCCTGCTGTGCTAGTTGCTTGCAGGCTGCTGTCTGAAAGCAGTGTCTCAGGGTACATGTTGCTGCAGAGCTTTTTGGCATTTGGCATGGTGCTGTGTAGGATGTAGGAGCCCCCGGCTATTGCAGGCAGCAGGCTTCAGGGTGGGAGATGCTATTTCTGTCTATTTCTGGAAAAAAAAAATATTATTAAATATCCTTTTCAACATCTCTTTACAGCAAAACATAACAATACAAAAAATAAAGAGCTCACCCTGAAGGAACAATAAACCTCAGACAGACCTCCTGGCTGCCATTCGCTTCAGCCTGTTTACTTAGGCTGAAAAAATACCAGTTTATAGTATCAGCTCAAGGCAAACTCCATCTGGTCTGATGGTCCTCTTTTATCATTTCTCTTTTCTGGGTTTGCCTTCTCTTTTTCTTTTCTGTGTTCCTCCCTGGTATCTGAAGGTCCTTTCTGTCATCACCCAGGCTCATGGTTCCCAATAGGGCTGACTGCTGCCTTCCCTCCAGTGCTGCCTACCAGCCCTCTGGTCTTGGGCTGAGCTCCTCACTTCTGCCATTTGACTCCATTCAGGCCAGTGATTTGTTATTTCCTTTCTTTTTTTCAGAGCTTCTTTGGAAATAAGGTCCCATGGGAACCCTCTTCTTTTTTTTTTTTTTTTTTTTTTTTTTTTTTTTTTCAGAAAAAAAAAAGGGCCAAGGTTTAAAGGGGCCCCTTTGGTTTTTTTTTTTTTTTTTTTTCTTTTTTTTTTTCCTCAGAATCATAGAAGGGCCAAGGTTAAAAGGGCCCTCTGGGTCCATCTGGTCATCCCCTGCTCAGGTAGAGACACTGCTACATCCAGGTGGCTTAGCTTGTAGTTTATTGTATGTTAGAATAAATTTTATGGGGGGATAAAAAAGCACCCAACCTGTTCATTAAGGAAGCTCAGTTAATCATAACTGATTAAAGGAAAGCTTGACACTACCTGCCTAGCCATAGCAGTGAGCTATCATACCCAAGGATGAAGAATTGTGAGAAATCAATCTTAATGCAGTACAACTTAATACTGCACTTGTATTTCTGTCTACATGAGGGCAAAAGGTAACATGTCTGAACTGCCTAGCACAACAAAAGCAGGCAGAATTTGGAGAAGATACTGTAGATGGGTGTGAGAGCCCTATTGCTATAAGAGCACATCCCTGGAAGACCTTTTCTGTTCCACTTTGAGAGGGAGGTGTTGTTTCATAAAGTGACAAGGTACACAAGGTTCAGAGCTGATGGCTCTCATGGGGTGTACTGAGACCATTTACTACAACTAGTTCTTGTTATGAAAACAAGGAGTTGTAGAGCTAAAGGGACCCACACTGGCATTTTTCTGGGAAAACAAAGAATTCTGGTGTACCTCGTCAGTCAAGTGTGGGGTACGAAGAGATCTTTTCTCAAAAAATGTGAGAAGCTTTGTTTTTGTAAGAGTCTAGATTTTGAAAAAGGAAAGAGATTGGTGAGCTTTCTTTTGGTGATTACCGTTATGGTACAAACCTTGCTTTCAGTGGACAGAGAGAGGAGATAGATGCAAAATACAAGGGAGAAATTCCACTCTTTTTAGATGTCCCGCTAGAGGATTTAGATACTCAGAGTTTTGTTTCCCTTGTTTGTTTATATAAACCAGTACTTACCTGGTTGTCCAGAATTGTGCCAACACTTGTGTTTTGATAAAGAGCTGTTTTTTTTCTGAATTAACTACACCTGCTTTTGATTGTGATAAATCATGCTTGGGTGCTCTTTCACAGTAGTTCATATGCTACTTTATTCTGGGATAACTTTCGAGCGCAGACAAGCCCCTAGGAAACTTTTTATTTGAAATGGAATCTCCTTAATTTGTTAGCTCTTGCATATTATGCTTGTACTAAGAAATTAATACAGTTCCTTTAAGGTATTTGTTTTAATTTATTTATGTATGTACTTTTGCTTTGCAGACTGCAAGGTGGCACATTGAACTGCAGCCATGGGCAAGTCCAACTCCTTCCTTGAACTATGAAGCTTTGAGGTTCCTGAAGTACATTAGCACTTCTCAAGTATGTTTTTATTTCAGTCTGATACAGTCTGTTCCTTCACAGATAAGAAATTAAACTCACACCAAACTCTTTTTGCACTTGTTTTTGAATATGAAATTTATTTCTAAAGTTGTTCAACTTCACACTGATGGTCAACATGAATGTAGAGGTCAAAACAGAGGATAGAAAGTGTCCATATGAGTTCTTTGTAGAAACGTCACTTCTGCACAACGACATGTATGATACGTGAATTTATTTCCTAAAATAAAAGCAGAAAAAGTACTGGAAGGCCACATTTCTCACAGAGTGGTGGCTTTAGATATTCAGTAATGAGCCCTTGAATGCAGATTTAACCACACCATCATTTACGCTGAAGAGCAGCAAAAAACCTCAGGTCACCGAAATGTCATTCATAAGAGAATTTCTTTGTCAGTGTAATGCTTTCAAAGCTGTGACAGTAAACGCGCCTGAAATGTCTGAAAATATTCTGCTCCACCCACAATTAGTACCTAAGAGGGTAGCAGAGAAATGTCTTACCCTCCAGCTTATGATACCCCTGGCAAAATGGTCAGAAACATGAAGAGGACATCTCTGCCCGGCACTGAGAGGACCAGGGACAAGAAAACACAGCAAGAGGCCTGCGTAGAGCTGCTTGGTTTACAGTGCAGAAGTTCAGGCTGAGGAGGCATATTAAGCTGAAAACAGCCCTCATCCCACTGACTTAATAAACAGTGGCAGATGCTGCTAAATTCCACTAGTTGGGGCAAAACCTACAAGGACTTCAGTTAGCAGAGAATTTATTGATTCTGACACAGTAATCAAGAACTTTCATTCCCAGAAGAACTGACCCTTGGGACAAGTGTAAGTGAAAACAAACAAACAAACAAAAAAAAAAAAAAAAAAGAAATGCATGTTTCTGACCTGGTAGAGGTTGCAGGATTAACAGCTGAAGGGGTAGCACCATGGCTGATAGGAACATTTCTGGAAATGCGATCCCACTGGCATAGATGAGCAGAGGCACTTGTTATCTTTGCTTGCTTTTCAAGCGTCAGCTAATTACTCTGCTTAAGTTCAGGTTCTTGCCATTAGCACAGCGCAGCTGGCATCAGGAGATGCCATGTCAGCAAGTCAAGGTGTGACCACAGGAAGCATTTTCTTGCCAGTATCTGGTGACCAGACAAACCACCTTACATGTGCTGTTATTTGTGTGGTAGTTGTGAGTGGGAGCCGAGAACAGGACACAGCTCCGTGCTGCAGCATCTGTAAATCATACAACAGATGGGTGATGGTCCTAAAGATAGGGTTCAGGTCTTTTGATTTTAGTTTTCATTTTAATATCAAGAACTGTTAAAATTACTCCAAGTTCTAAGTGCTGAAATTGCTCATGAGTCCATTAAGTAGCAGCATTGCAGGATCTTTTATTTTTCCATAGAGAGCACATTATTCTTCCATGTCTTGAAATTAATGCTTGTTGTCACAGTGCTGTTTATTCTTCAGTTGTTATGTGGCTGAAGGGAAATGAGTAGTGGGGCACAGTGCAAATCATCACTTAAAATTTAGTAAATCCCGAGAGCAACATGAATAGGTGCTTTATTAGCTTTTATGAATTTTCCATGAGAGTTAGGAGCTAAGCTGGACTAGGCAGGCGATGATGCAGCTTGCAGTTCTGTGAATGTAATACTCCAGATAATGATATGTCAGAGCTTAAGCATCTTTAAAAAATCAGAGCTTTATTTACTTATTATGAAGCACATGGTGGAGATTGCCTACCATAGCAAAGGCTGGATTTCAGCTGTTGTTCTTACCCCTGCTCTTGTCTCTGCTGTCATGATTTCCAATTTTTGTTTGTTTGTTTTTGTTTGGCTGTCTGACAGTGCTACCTCCCATCACTGCAGGCACAGTTAGTGCTGGGTTCAGAGAACAATTTCTGTGAGTCGTGATGGCTTGGCTGGGCTCCTGCAGGCTCAGTATCCCTTTTCCTTTTGCAGTACTTTAATTCTAATTTAAGACTCTTGAAACATAAGCCAGCAGAGTGCAGAAACATGTTATGACTCCTCAGTTTAGTTAAGCACTTGCTAAAATCCCTTTGTTATTGGATAGGGGCTGTTGCAGGGTCATGCTTAAATGTTTTTGGGAGATCCAGGACCCTGCAGGTGTGGTGTACAGCATACATTGCAGTGACACTGCAGTCTGTGATTACAGTGTTGAATTGTGCCAGGATTTCAACGTGATTCAGAATGCAGAACCTGTAAAACAGTTTGAAAGGGAAAAAAAAATAAACACTTTAATGCAGTGATAATGTCTTGTCAGGAAAACTGATTTCAGGGCATCATACTAATGCTTAATTATTTGCTTTTTAAACTGCGTTGTTCTTTGGGGGATTATGTAAGCCTTGAATTTCACCAAGCAGAACAGACAAACAAGGAAAAAAAGTGTTCGAGTTTCCATAGCTGTGCATCAGATTGACAGGCAGATTTAAACAAAACTTCTCTGCACTCTTTACCCAGAAGGCAAATTAAAAAATTAAAGGGTAAGCCTTAAGATGAAACATTCTTTGATTTCAACAGATTTCATGTGAGCACATGAACCTGAGCAGCCTGAGGGGCAACTCTGAAGCCATGAAGAGGCCCTGGTCAGTCTGCCTTGATGAGAGGTTTAGCCTCATCCACCGGCTCAGAAACAAGCAGTGCCGTCTCTATTCCCTGGGGTAAGTGCTCCATTTAACAGGCAGCAGATCTTTCCGTGATGCATTCTAGCATCAAAAAGCTTTATAAATGCAGCACCGGTTGCGGCAAAGCTGTCTGTTAAAATACTGGCTTTGTTCGGGTGTGTTTATTGTGTGCTGATGTGCTTCTGTAAAGTCTTTTTAGGGAGAAACCTTTCTCCAGGAGGGTCTTCATTTTCCTTCACTTTTCTGTCTGTACTGCACAGTACGAAACCAAATTGCCTGATGGTAAGTAGCAAGTGGTAGTTCCAGCAGAAGAAGATGGAAATTAGTGAGATAAACTGAGAAGCATACAGCGTCTTTCCTGAGCAGAATTGACTTGCATAATTGCCAGGTACTTCAGCAGCATTACTTAAGAAACTTCATTAACTACCCCTGGGATGAAACTGTACATTTCCATATGAGAGTGTGTTTGCTGAGCGCTTCAGGGGTGATGTGTGCCAAAGTGATAATAATGAAAGCAGTTGTTGGCTTTATTTTAAAATGTTTCTGGTGTGGACGTTGTTTACAGCACCTCAGATTGAAGTCATCGCTCTTGACAGAACTGCAGCCTATTTCCCTGCCGTTAATACCTCTGCCTCCTGGAAGGATGAGGGAGTTGGTCAGGCCTCTGGCACTTTTCATTGTGCTCAGGTGCACCAGGAGGGCAATCACCAGGACCTGTGGCCACAGTACTGCTGCCTCACACAACTTTGCTGTCCTGTGAGCCAGCTTTAGTTTGGGGAGCGCTGAAAGACTTAATTTCTGTTGAGCCATCACAGGCTGTTTATACTGAGCTATGAGAGTTGGTGTGTTAGAGAGTGTGGAGCTCTCAGCTCTTGTTCAGCTATACCTGTTGAATACTGCTACAGCAGATAACAGTGCCACACCCCTTAGGTTGAATCCTGTCTACAGAGAGCAAACTCCTCTTGAGGAATTACTTTCTGAGTGTTTTTTATAATCCATTTCAAATAATGCTTTCTTGGTTTTAATGCAAAATATAGGTTTACATGAGGTGTTTGGTTTTTTTGCCTCAGTTTTTCCCATTGCTGTGAAAATTTGCGGAGATCCTGTGTTATCTCACACTTAGGTCCAGATTATACCTGCTCAGCTGCAGTACTGGCACATTGCTTCAGGCTCCTTTCAGTTTTGTGCAGGGAGAGGTGCATTTGGTTGGAAAATCAGGTAAGCTGAGCAACCTTCTGGAGGCAGCTGTAGCTTTCCTTTGAATATAGAGGAAGTCTAATGTGACTGCTGACTTTTAATGTCTTGGCAAAGTACCCGTTGTTCAGTGGAATTAACTTGAAGGGTAACATCTATATTACATGCTCATTAATATTGGTCCTGAGCTCTGGTGCTAAAGTGCCTTTATTGATATTTAGCCAGACACAAAGCAGAGTTGATTTAATCCGTACTGGAAAATGCAGGTTTGACAGAAAGCTGACCAGCAATAAGATAATTTGCTGATGGTTGTGAACAAACCTGAGCTAATGAGTGTATTCCAGTATTTCATGTGGAGCTGCTCTTGATACTGTACAGGGAGCCCCAGTGCCAGGCTTTTGTAGCAATGGCGCATTAGGCTTAGCAGAGATTGAAACTGATGCTGTCTCTCCCATAAATCATCAGGTACACACGTGCAGTAAATAACCAGCTGTGATGTCTCTCATGAAGCAGCTAAAGAGTAAAGAAGAAATATTTGGGCTTAAGGAGGAGCAGTTTTTCAACCTTCAAATTCTCTCTGCAGCTTTTGGAGCTTGTTACTGCATGAGTCTTCCGTCAGACTCGCTTCCTTTAGCTTTATGACAGGCAGAAAAATAATTTTGTTCTGAGCAAGACAAAAATCCCCTTTAAATATTTTTGTTATCTCATACGCTTCATAAAGAGCAAATGGGGAGCAGCTGCTCTTGACAAAGAACTTCTTAGCAGAAGGAATGGATGGAGGACAAATGTGAAAGTTCAGCGTGAGTGTGATTGGGAATCCTGAATTAAATCCATAAATCATTAGAAATTGAAGAAAACTTGCTGCCTAGTTGTTGCCTTTGTGTATGCAGTAGAGAAGCTTGCTTGTGAATGGGAGTGAGAGCGTCTGTAATTTCTAGAGGTTTTTTTCAGATGAGCATTAGTGGCTTCCACTACTGGAAGGCAGCAATGTTTGTGCTTGGGGGCACAATTTCCTGGTGTGATATGTAATTGCAGCGTGCATTAGTGAGCTGTAGTTATTAGTGCTAAATCTGCTTAGGTTAAGCTAAGTCTGTTACAAACACAACAGGCAGGCACTGGAGCTGCCTGATATAAATGAGTAGGATATCAGAAACGTAACCGTTGAGGTTTAAAGAGTCTTACTGCAGTGCCACTTGAAACCTGTTTTAAGAGGCTCTTAATGTGTAGGGGCTTTAGAATCCAGGTAGGGGATGCTTCTTTTTATTATGAGCTGCAGAACTTGGTTATCTGTCTGTCTTTGAAGGAAAGAAAAAAAGAGAGAAAACAGTAAGACCAGAAAGGGAAAGCTGGGCCCTAATATAGATGCTCTTACACCCCTGTCCTGTGGTCCCTTTCGGACCTGGAGTACCCCATGGGAACTGGCTGTGGGAACACAAGCGTGCTCCTCTTGCATGGGGCCCATCTGCAGGATGCATTTTCTGATGCTTTTAAAGATCACCTTCACCCCTGCTTCAAGGTCAGTCTGCAGTCCTTGTCTCTGGAGATGAGTTTTGTCTTCTGTTTTGCAGGAAAAACAGGTTCATGTCCCTAGCGTTTTTGATTTATGTTACTGGAGAGAGCAGCTGGTCCCTCCTGATGGCCTCTCTGTTCTTCTGTGACATTTCTTAAGGTCGTCTTCTTTTATTTATTTATCTTTTTCAAGTAACACAAAGTCTTCCTTAGGAAGCCTCATTTGTTTACTTCTCCCGTGCTGTGTTCTCACTTGGTGAGATAACACACGAGCCTTGCATTTTTCAAATCTTCTGGAGATGACTGACCTTATTTTGTCTTATAAACATTTGTGATTGATTAGATCTCTCTTCAGGCATAAATTTGATCTGTTGGCAGAGTGTCAGATGATATACCACCACTTTCTTCACCCTCAACTGTTATTTGTTCTGTTTTGCACCACTTTGCAGTCCACATGTGAATAACAATCTGCTCAAAGGCAGCCTGAGTTCTGCCTGCATCGGAAGCATCTGGCCCTCTGGATTGCACCAGCTGCAACTGTTAGAAGTGTGTCATGGATGCATGTGTCCATGGGTTGGTGCTGGGCTCATCGCTCTAATGCTGTATTTGTCCCAGACAATTTGCATTTTGTTCATTTGAAGCCAGCTTTTCATTCCAAAGGGATTACACTGGTCTTCATTCATCTGTGTCCCTTCTGTAGAATGCTGTATGCAAACAAACGTGCCAATTCACTTGGTTAACTTTGGAACTTTTTTCCTGTTGTATTTTGAATGTATTAGAAGAAAACTGTTCTCTTTCTCTCCTACACATCTGCATAGGCTGGAATCATGTGAAATATGATTGTTCTTAAAAGTATGTTGTGCTGTTCTTGCAGTCTTTATATCCTTCGGCTTGCCCAGGACTCCTAGGGAGAAAATGGTTCAATGGAGAAGCTTCTGGGGCAGTGTTGTTGGTCAGTGTTAAAGCAGATGTGATGCCAGATTAGTAACTTCCAAATCATATCTGCTTTGCAACTTTGTTTCAGGAGTTGAATTCATTTTAGTTTAGCAAAATACCATCTATGCAAAACATTTAATGCTGGCTTAATGTCATATCCTAGCATAGTGTGATGTAAAATTTATCACATTCCATATATTGGTGCAATTAGCCAGAATTATTTCAGATTCAAATAATTTTTCAGATAAATGCTTAAGTATAATTGTGGTGTTGTCTAGCAGATCACAGAGGCAGCACATTGAAAAATACTGCCCTGCAGTGGTTTGTTTCTGATGGATAAAGGCCATGCTATTACTATGGAGTGGATATTCTCAATTAGTACAACTGGTTGAAGCACTGATTAAAAAACTTGATTACCTCTCCTGTGCTACCTGTTTGTGTTTCCAACAGCACGATTTTGATTAAGTTTAAGGTTTAGCACATAATTTCAACCATGTTTGGTACAAACCTGTATGGGCAGCAGTGAGGAGGACATCATATTTCAGACAGTGGGGAGTGCCTGCAGGCCAGATATCTGATTGCAGTGGCAATGATTTCTTGAATCCTATGTGAATCATTTTGCAGTAGGAGGTGGGAATATGGAATAGCCTCATAAAGCACATATTTTCCTTGCAGAGACAGGGAGGGGTGCAGTGACACATTTTTTTCTGTACAGGGGGGTTGCTTGCATTTCTTCTTCTTTGGGGATCTTTGTGAAATTAGCATTAATCTTTCTTTGAGTGTAAAAACACTTCTGCTGTTGGGAAGGAAGTAGTTTTAAATTTACGTTTTGATTTTCCTGTGCAAGGAGAAAGAAAGAAATTTGGTTCTTGTGTCCTGTCCCAGTTGTTGGCCATTATGGCACATAGTTGTATAGGCATAGCAGAAAATATATCTGATTTTTTTACAAAATGGTGCTGTCTACATTCTGATTACATATTATTATATATATATATATTCACTATTCCATTTCTATTCCTTTAAATTTCCTTTATCTAAGTACTTGTTCCAAATCTTCAGCGTACATCATTGCAGTCTATCAGCTTTATTTCTGGTAATCACATCAGAATTAGGGTTAAATTGTGCTCAGTGCCATGGATAAATCTGGAGAAGCAACACAACAGTTCCTCCACTTTGCTTCAGAAACTAACAAGCTGAATTTTCCCTTCTTGCATGCTCATGAGCCCTCAGGATGTTCTACTCACCAGTAGGTCTTTTTGCAGCATTAATGATCACATCTTTTTTGTTTTGTAGACTGGGCAATGACGACAACCAGTTTGAGATCAGCATGGCTAACAGTGGATGCGAGGTGCATCGCTTCGACCCCAGCATAAAGTCAGCACACATCCAGGAAGGTCAGCACCTCTGGTATCATCGCCTGTCCGTTGATTGGAGGGATCCCAACCCAGCCATTGCTGCACACAAACTTCACAGCAACACAAAGAAGCTGGGCACGATATTGAATGAATTTGGACATCAGAAGGTAAGGACTCAGGTGGTACGCTTCTGACTGTTGTGAAAGCTGCAGAGCTTCATTCTGGAGCAGGGGGTTGGACCAGATGGCCTGCAGAGGTCCCTTCCAACTTCAGCCTTCCTGTGATCCTGTGATTCTTGTTCTCTCGGGAGCTCAGGTGCTTTCCCAAGTGATCTCCTGACAGTAGATTTTCTTGAGAAATACTTGCAGTGCATTTCTTCCTGGAGTGTCTTTTCTGTCTTGCTTTTTTCCTAACTCTGGTAACAGCCACTCTGTTTTTAAATTGCAAGCTGTATGTTTAATACTTTCCTTCTCCTCCCTTGCTTTTCTATTCAGCTGGCTGGTGACACTGAGTGTTCATTTTTCCAGTCCTGTGGAAGTTCTGGTTGTTGCCTGAGTAAGAGTTCTAAAATACTCATGCTGAGCAGTTTACAAAGAGAAGAAATATTTGTAAAAACAATTAGAAGAAGTAATGGATGGGCTGTTTATGTTTGCAGGGTCACTAATCCTAATTACAGTCATCAACAAAAACATCCTGTTTTGAAATTGGCAGCACTCTATTTTTTTAACATTTCTAATTTTTTTTTTTTTTAAGGAACTGTAAATACACCAGAAATGTTAGGTTCTCAAATAACTATTGCCAAAAGACATTTGAGGAAGTTCCTGACACACAGGATTAGATTGCTTTCAAGAGAGATTTTCCCTCAGAGGATATGCTAGTATGAATTGAAATGCTAATATACTTCATTGCCTGCAGCTAATTCTTCATGTCTTTGTGGTTTTTTTTGTGTGTGGTTTTTTTTTTTTTTTTTAAATAGGCAGCCTGAGCTAAGGAGAGCTTTTCTGTAGCATTTACAAAGCAAACAAGCAGTGCAATATGTGTTTGGTTTGTTATTATAAAATTCAAGAAGTCCTTTTCAGTTCATTTCTTGCTTTTCTTTAGCATTTTCTTTTGGTTCAGCTCTTCTGATTGAACCATTTTGAAGAGAAGAACAGAAAAAGCAGCTTTTTTTTTTCCTGCTTCTTAGTCATTCTGTAATTGTACTAGCTTGTGCATTAGCAAACCATCTGGGGAGAGAGAGATGGCTTTCCTTTGACGTATGCCTTACATTGATAGTTTGCTTTTAGAAGAATCAGTCACAAAGAAAATGATTAATGACCTGATCCAGAAAAAGCATGTGAATGTTGTGGTATAGCAGACCTTGCTGCGAACAGCTGATTGTTTATCATGGACTGGTACAGAGTGTTTGTGAGACCTGCTGTGAATTACAGGAGTGTAGCTATGAATTCTGAGTCTATAGCCTTCAGGATGAAAACTACCTGACATGAAAGCACCCAGCTGGAGGGCATTCCAGAAGCAGTGCACACGATGTGGGATTGAGGTTTTCTGCACAGCACAGAGTTTAGTTTAGTGTGTTGGCATGTTGTGAACACCACACATGCCTCTTAGACTGTGATCATTCAGGCTGCTCCCCTGTGCAAAGTTATGGCATTAGTGAAGTCATGAGCTGACTTTGCCCAGCAAGTATACAGCCATTACATACTTCGCAGTCTGACAGAGTCATAGAATTGTTTGAATTGGAAGGGACCCTGAAAGGCCATGTAGTCCAACTCTCCTGCAATGAACAGGGACATCTACAGCTAGATAAGGTTACTCAGAGCCCTGTCCAACCTGGCCTTGAGTATCTCCAAGGACAGGGCTTTAACCACCTCTCTGGGCAAACGGTTCCAGTGCTTTACTGCCTTTAATATGAAAAAAAAAAAAAAAAAAAAAAAAATTTTAAAAATTGTATCCAATCTAAATCTTCCTTCTTTAGTTTGAAATCGTTTCCCCTTGTCCTGTCACAAACAGGCCTTCCTAAAGAGTCTCTCCCCTTTTTTCTAATAGCCCCACTTTAGGTACTGAAGGGCCTCTTTAAGGTCTCCCCAGAGCCTTTTCTTCTCCACGCTGAGCAGCCTGACCTTGTAATGGAGGTGTTCCATCCCTTGGATCATTTTTGTGGCCCCTCCTCTGATGTGCTCTAACAGGTCCATATCTCTCCTGTTCTGAGGATTCTGCATCTGGACACAGTACTCCAGATGAGGCACAGAGTAGCGGGGTGGGGTTGCCTCCCTTGACCTGCTGGCTACACTTCTTTTGATTCAGCCTAGGATATGGTTGGCTTTCTGAGCTGTGCGTGCACATTGCTGGCTCACATGAGACTTGCCATCCTCTAGTACCCCAAATTCCTTTTTGGCAGGGCTGCACTCAATCTTTTCATCCCTCACCCCGTGTTGGTAATGAGGGTTGCCATGACCCAGGTGCAGGACCTTGCAGTTGGCTTTGTTGAATCTCATGAGGTACTCCAGGACCACTGCTTGGGCCTGTCTAGGTCTATCTGGATGGCATCCTGTCCCTCAGGCATGTCAGCTACACCACACAGCTTGGTGTCATCCACAAACTTGTTGACAGTGTATTTGATCCCACTGTTGAGTCATTGGTGAAGTTGTTAATTAAAAGCACTGATTTCAGCACTGATCCCTGTGGGACACCACTCATCACTGATGTCCATCCTGACAATCTTGCAATCAGCTCCTCATCCACTGAAAAGTCTACCCATCAAAACCATATATTAAACCATGATTTAGAGAGAAGGATATTGTGGAGAACCATGTCAAAGGCACCTTACTGAAGTCCAGATAGATTATATTAGTAGCTCCTCCTTTGTCCACTAATGCAGGTATGCCATCATAGAAGGCCACTAGGTTAGTCAGACAGGACCTGCTCTTGGTGAAGCCATGCTGGTTGTTTTGCATCACCTCCCAGTCCTCCTTGCTTGCCTCAGCATAGCTTCCAGGAGGATCTTTCCCAACACAGAGTGAAGCTGACAGGTCAGTAGTTCCATGGGTCATCCTTTCTGCCTTTCTCAAAAACAGTTGTGATACTGCCTTTTTACCAGTTACTAGGGACTTCACCTGACCACTGTGTCTTTTCAGATAAAACTGAGAGTGGCTTGGCAGCTACATTAGCTAATTCCCTCAGGAGTCTTGGCTGCATTTGTTGGGATCCATAGACTTACGGATGTTCAGGTTCCTCAGATGGCTGTGAGCATGATCTTTGCTTACAGTGGGAGAGTCATTGCTCTCCCAGTTTCCACCTTTTGACCCGTCTGCTTGAGGGGTGTGTGAAGAGCAATTGCCAGTAAAGGCTGAGGCAAAAATGTTGGGTACCTCAGCCTTCTCCTCATCCATTGCTAACCAGTCTGCCCTTATTGCTCACTACAGTTGTAGTAAACATTCTTGGATTTTCCTTTTTTGGTTGACATACCTGTAGAAGCCTTTCTTGTTCTTCTTTGTGCCCCTTTCCAAGCCCAGTTCCAGTTGGGCTGTGGCTGCCTAGCCCTGTCCCTACACAACCTAGCAGCGTCCCTATACTCCTCCCAGGATACCTGTCCCTACTTCACATTTGGGAAATACCCAAAGAAATCTATTCTACTTACATCTTCTTACTTGGTTTGTCTCTGCTTGGAGGGCAGCCTGAGAGGCTGTTTGTCTGAAGATGCCAGTAAGCTCCAATTTATGACAAGGACATCAAAGTAAAAACTGTGTCATTCACATTTTCATTCTTCCAATGAATACAATGAAATGTTCCCATAATTAAATTAGTAAGCTAATTCAAAACAGTTTCCAGAATGTTTTCCAAAGTACTTTTTTTTTTTTTTTTCTTTTCTTCTTCAGTTAGAAATTTAAAACATGTTCTTCATTCCATTCTTAGTAATTTTAAAAATCCTTACGCCTACCCTCAAAGCTGCTCTGTTACCACTTCAAGGCGGGAATTCCAAGCAACATCATTTGAAGTTAATGCCTACTTTTCTCCTTGCTTTTATTCCTTAAGATCTGGGATTTGATCCAAGACCCTCCAAGTAAATGAGAACTTTTCCACTGACGTCAGGGACTTTGGATTGGGCTGTTGAAGAGGGGACCAACAAGACCTCCTGCAGTTCTTGCCACTACGGTCTTGAAAAGAAACCATGCAGTTTGGGCAATTTTAGGGGCTTGTGTACAAGGACATCAAAGAACTTCACAGGCTTATTTCCCCACTGTGGCTTGGATGAGAGCGCAACTGCTGTAGTTTAGTTGGTGCTGGAACCCCTTCAACAGAAGTGGAAACTGTTATCATGACAAGAAACACAAGCGGGTCTTTTGCTGTTAGAGTGGATTTGAGAAAGCATTAAAAGAACTTGATCTCTCTAAAACACTGCAGTTCTAGTCCTGTGAGGAGTGTAAATAGCCCAGAGGTGAAAGAATCATCTAATACTATAATAAGATGAGATTGAAAAAGGAAACATGCAGCCAGAGTACTTAGGGAACCTTTGTGAAAGAAAGAAATCTTTTAAGTGCTGGAATAATCTCCAAAGGCTGTAGAAAGTCCTGTTTCCTGGATGCAAATCTAGTCTGAAAATTTAGTGGTATATCTTTTGAGAATAGTATTTTATCAGCTGTGGGAGAGGATAAAGATGTAAAAACTTGATCTTTCTCATCTTTTTTTTTTTTCCACTAATCTTTTGCTTCATATGGACACTATAGTATACTGCTGACAAATAGTGAAGAAAAGCCACTCAATGCATAAAATGTTGTTTATTATTCTAGTAGAGTACAACTTTGTGAAAACTGGCTCTTTCATATTCTCTCACTGACTGCTAGGGTGAGGGGTAGTAAGGTACTGCTGTTTCCTTTGGATAGCTGATAGTTGAATGGGGAATTCCCTTTAGATGGGATCCCTGGATAACTGAAGGCAGAAGGGATTTGGGGAGGCCTGTAATTCAACTGCCAGCTCAAAGAAGGACCAGCTCTGAAGTCAGGCTGTTCAAAACTTTATGCAGTCTGGTCTCAGAAAGCACCAAGTTTTCTCCAAAATAGAGTCTGCACAGCTTGTCTATGCAAGCTATGGTCATGCTTGGCTATCCTAGTCATGGAAGAAGTTTCTCCTTATATACAATCTGGAATCCCCCAATTTCAGTGTGTCTGCT